AAACAAATAGCCGGTCCTATGAGTGCAATCGATTCAAATATTTTTCTAATTCTTGTTTTCGATATTTTATGTCCAAATCGTTTGATGACTAGCGCAGAGAGGGGTCCGCCTATAGCCATAGTTAACCCGGTGGCCAGGGATGTCATTGAATTGAAAAAGCCGTTTTGCACTAAAGACATACCGAATACCTATAGAGAAACTAAATATTAATTTAATAGATATTATAATTTTAAATAATAATTACTTTATCTAAATATGATGGCATTTTGCTCAGGTACATGTAATAGCCCCAACCGGCACACACTTTGGCGTTAATGGTAGCCCATAAGCACTTGGACGTGAATATAGACCTCCAGGGGGCCGATGAGTTTTTCTAAAGTGTAATGAATATAACTTTAATTAACAAATTCATGTGTCATAACAATCTGAGACAATAACTATTAATACAATACTTTTGGTGCTCCAAAAGAGCCCTTATTTTGGTCAATATATTTGAGCTCTTCGTCCGAGCATTTCATGTAACCCTTAGTATTGCTAATAAGAGGTGTGTTTTCCACACATATTAACCAAAACAAAATCCACGGAATGTGTGCCAAACTTATTACGTAAAACACTGCCGGCCAGACCCCCAGATCGCATAGATACCCGGCCAATGGGTAAGTGACTACATTACCAAAATTATGCACAGCCGCCAGCCCGGCCACGGCTATTGAACGTTCCGATGTTGGGAACCAGTGGGCGAACAGTGAGAACAGGGATGTGAATATACATCCGTGAAATAAACCCATTATTAGGAGTACTACGATGAGAGCGCCGACGTGTAGGCGCGCGGCGATCGGTATGAGTGATAACAGAATCGCCGGTACTGTGAGTGAGACAGCGGTCACCCATTTTGAACCAAACCTTTCGGTGATTCTGCCGGCGATTGTCGGCGTTATTAAGTAGGCGTAAAAACTGGCGCCTAATATAATACCCTGATAATTGGATTTAATAAAAATAAGTTGAAATTATAATTAAAACTTATAAACTATTATATTACTTGCAATGATTCACTCCAATCAAATTCACCCCTAATTATTGGGTTATCATCTTGTGAACTACTGTTCCCATGATTGCCTGACTGTAGCCAACACTGACCCTCGTCACTGTCATCTCGAGCACCGGTAGCACTGCTATTATACTTAGCCATCGACACAATGGCGACACTGAGACTGGATCTGTGCGATGAGAGCAGACCCGTCGCCACCGCACCCAACACTCCGACAGTCCATCGCATTACTGTATGCTTTGCTATCGATTTAATACTAATTTTTAATTATTTTAATTTAATTTATGTTTTCATAAGCAAACGCTAAGAACACTAAAAACTAAGTTTATATGTGTTTATACAAAATAGACATTACTTGATATCTGTTGCCCTAAAACTTTATTAAATTGTGTGTATGTGTTGTAAATTGTGATATAATTAAGATTATTATCTATTTTTAGATATTTATTATTGTCTTACGAGTTAATTATTTTTTGTTTTTTATTGTCAATTCACCAACATTGAAATAATATTTATTTTTATAATTAATGTTTATTTGATTAAAAAGAATTTTATTTTATATTATTATTTTTAAATACTGTACCTTGAGTACAATATGTATGCCTATCTATTGGCTATGCTGATTATGTGTATTCTAGTAACCTTTAATAAAAATATAAATTACTATATTTATTTAAATCTATGTTTGTAAGTATACTGTAAATACCGGTAGTATTTATTAACTATTTATTGATACTTTTGCCAAAAGTATTGTGAAGAATGAATGAATTGAATGAATTAATTAATTTGTAGAAATTAATTTGTGTCTAATCTTATGACAATTCCTCATAATCTCTTATATGAATATTCTGTTAATTTTTAAAAATTATTGGAAATGTTTATTAAAAGCATAAATGTTGTCATTTTTCATTATATTATTTATTGATTGACACATTTCTTTGTGTATAAAACATTGAATAACTGAATCAATCGAGTTTTCATTCAACTGGTTTCTATAGTTATTAAAATTACGGCATTTGATACATCTATTGTACCGTAACATAATATTTTAAGGTTTATAGTATCTGTAGACAGAATATCGTATTTTCAGTACAAAATGCACTTTCATTTCTAATGAATATATAGCATAGAAAGTGTTGATATAAAGTGTATACAGTAATTCCTTATTTTATCAGTATTATCAGTGCATTCTGTACTGGAAACTAATAGCAAGTGTCACTATTTCCTATTGTTTAGTTTCAATATTCATTATAAATATAATAATATAAATAGTATATTATACTTTTGGTAAGTATTGTCAAAATAAAAATATGAATTAGTATTTATTTTAATTTACAATATAAATTAACTGAATAATAACATTTTAAAATGTTAAAACTCTCTCGAAAAGTGACCTAGCACTCAATTGAAAACTTACATTTAAATTATCAGTGATCTAATGTACTCAGACATTAACTTATTAAATGATTGCGTCAAAAATTTATAAGTTCATAAATAAGAAATCTAAGTATTATATAAAACTGTGATTTGTTTTATTAAAACCTCATTACACAGTAGTTAACCTTATAAATAAAGTGATTGAAATAATTTATTTTAAAGCGAATATTGTAATACAATCTGTAATTAATTATTTTTTCACTGCCTTAATAAATGAGTTTAAATAAAAACTAACATTCATTTGAATTTGAATTTAAGGTCGAAATGGACAGTATGTGGGTTTCGGATGTCATAAACACATTGACAGCGAACAGTGAAAAACTTCAGACAATTTTTGGCACAGTTTTAGCCACTTTTATGGCAATCAAGTTA